AGAAATCGGGCTTTTCGTGATTTGATATTCAATTTATAGAGAATTTGCTTGACAATCTGAATTTGGAGAACAATATTAAAGTGCAGATACGTTGTTAATTAATTATTACCTTTATAGGTATTAACTTTATTTATGAAGTTTTACGATCTTAATAATTGTGAAACATCGAATTTCGTGTGCTACCTATTGTTTGATACCATGTGTTTATTCCGACCTTGTGTTCTAAACATAGACTGAAAAAGAATTTATGCAAGACAACGAATCTTATTTTTTCCTTTATTTTATAAAAAAAGAATAAAAAAAAAACAAAGATCTTTACAATTCTTGAAACCGCTCATCCCGATTATCATGAAACTGAAAGTTTAACAATAGACGGGTGTCCGAAAATTTTAGGTCACCAATAAGTTTTCCGAACCGAAAAAAATTATCGAGATTTTTACAAATCTTTTTTTTTTTTTTTTTTAAAAAAAAAAAAAACCTTCAATTGTTTCATTATGGGAAAGCGAAATAGAGCCACATTGTTACCAATTAATTTACCACAATTACAAAATCTTATAAAAAGGGATCCTATATCTTACAAACAAGATTTTTTGCAACAATATAGACATTTTGAATCACAGTTGGACATTTTTAAATTGAAGCCCGACGAAGAAGCTGAAGAATTCGGAAGGTTGATAACTTTCATTTCACAGGTAATATATATATAATACAAGTTTATGATTAAGTAAAGTTCACATTTAATTCTTCACATACATATAGGTAGCACAATGCTATTCACAAGAAACCAGCTCGTTTCCGCAACAATTGATAAATTTGCTCTCAGAATGTTATCAAATCCTAAATCCTAATGTACGTAGAACTATGGTACAAGCATTGGTTTTGTTACGTAATAAAGATATTATACCGAGTATCACGTAATTATCAAACAAAGTATTTATTTGTGTTGGAAAATTGTTGATTTTGATGTATATTTAAGATATTCCCATCAATTAAACTTGAATTGAATTTTTTCATTACAGTTTATTATCCTTATGTTTTACATTATTTCGAGTTAGAGACAAGCAATTAAGAGAATTATTATACTCGTATATAGTAACGGATATAAAAAATCAAAATGCCAAGCATAAAAATAATAAACTTAATAAAACGTTACAAAGTTTTATGTATACAATATTACAAGGTCAACAACAACAACAAGGACAACAAGGACAAAATAATGTTAAAATAGGGGGAGAAAAAATTGATTCTAAAATGGGTGAAGATTCAATTTCAGCAAAAAAAAGTCTGGATGTTTGTATTGAATTATATAGAAAAGGAATTTGGTGAGTGAGAATGTTTTAAAGAATTATTTTGTAAGAAAAAAAAAGGATATAGTTGCTTAAAGCTTTTTTTTTTTTTTTCCTTTAGGAATGATGCAAAAACAGTTAATGTAATAGCCGAAGCTTGTTTTCATCAAATAACAAAAATTAAAGTTACTGCAATCAAATTTTTTTTGGGTTCAAATCAAGATCAAGATGTTAGTAGTGAAGATGAGAAGGAATTACCAAATATAAGAAGATTACAACACATTAATCAGATTAATAAAACAAAGAAATCTAAAAAAAGAAAATTAGGAAAAGCCTTGTCAACTATTCGTAAAAAAGAATTACAAAAACACAAAGCAGAAAATTTTAACTTTTCTGCTTTACACCTTTTAAATGATCCTCAAGGTAATGATAAGATAAAATTTTAATAAAATTATAAATATTATATTTCAAATAATAATGTGTATTAATTTTTTTTAGGATTTTCCGAAAAGTTATTTTCTACTTTAACAAGCTCTCAATATAATGATCGTTTTGAAGTAAAAATAATAACTTTAAATTTAATTTCTCGTATAATCGGTATTCATAAATTAGTCTTATTAAATTTTTATAGCTATTTACAAAGATATTTACAACCACATCAACGTGATGTTACATTGGTGTTGGTAATATTGGCTCAAGCTTGTCACGAACTTGTTCCACCTGATGTGCTAGAACCTGTCGTAAGAGTTATTGCTAATAATTTTGTCAGCGATCATTGCGCTGGAGAAGTTATGGCAGCTGGGTATTAAATTATTTCCCTTTATCCTTTTTTTTTTTTAAAGGAAGAAAATTATATATATAACTATGTATATTATATATACACGTCTTTTATTATACAGGTTAAACGCTATAAGAGAGATTTGTTCAAGGCAACCATTAGCTATAGACTTTACTCTTTTACAAGATTTAACGGAATATCGTTCAGACAAGAATAAAGGTGTTATGATCGCTGCTAGATCCTTAATTGGATTATTTCGGGAAATTAATCCTGAATTATTGAAACGAAAAGATAGGGTAAAAAAAAATGGAATTTATATTAAAATTTCTTTTATTTCTCTAAAACTTTTTTTTTTTTAATATTAATTCTCTTTTTGTAGGGTAAAGTAGCAAGTATGAATTTAAAAGATTTTAAACCATTACAATATGGTCAAGTTCGTACTATGGAACAAATTGAGGGAATTGAATTATTGGAAGAATACAAACAAAAACTTGGTCGTTCTGAAAATGAAGACGGTAAGACAGTATAATAATCTAATTGAAATTTAAAAAATTTAAAAAATTTATTTATTGTAAAATTAATTAAATATTTAGAATGGTCAAGATGGGAAATCGCTTCAGATAATTCAAGTGATGATGAAGGGTGGATTAATGTATCTTCTGATGATGATCAAGATATTAATGTTAGTGATAGTAGTGGTGATGAAGATGGTAGAGGTAATGAGAATGATAATGAAAACAATATAAAGGAAAAGAAAATCTCAACTTTAGCGATGACTCAGGTAATGAACACTTATGTTTCCTCTCCTTATAATTGATTCTATATAATAATTTCATTTTTCACCAAAAAAAAATAAAAATTTCCCTTTTTAGCTTTTAAGTCCAGCGGACTTTGCAAAGTTAAATGAACTTAAATTAGAACATAAATCCGAACAATTAGTAGATGGAGGGAAACGAAATAGGAGTACTACGTATGTTATTTATCGGTATTACTTATCTCGTTGAAATATCTAACGAATTATCATATTATTAGACAAGATGAACCTTCTGACATTATCGATGTGAATGCAATCACTGGTCCACGCAAAAAAGCTAAACAGGATTATGAAGAACGTTTAGAATCAATTAAATCTGGACGTGAAGGACGTGAAAAATATGGAAGTTCAAAAGGTAAAAAGTTTGAAGGTGCTAGTACCACTAACAAAGAAAAAGCTAGAAACAAAGCTTTTATGATGGTCATTCATAAGAAGAATGCATTGCAGAAAAAGAAGATGAGTTTAAGGGACAAACAGGTATATATATACTTTTTACTTTATATATTATAATTCGTTCTTTAAAGATAAATAATAATTACATGTATTTTTTGTAGATCCAATTAACAAAACAAAGTAGCAATAAGAAAAGATCAAAAAAATAATTGACAGATCTACCCTTAAAACCATTCCGATATGGTAATCGTGTTATGATAAATTATTATTGTTTTTGTATTGAAACTACTTCTTCGACAAATATTTTACGAAGAATCGACAATGCATCTTTATGACTATAATATACAATTAATTATGAATGATTCAGTTAGAATTTTTAAAATGAAACGTAAAATTTAATTTTTAAAAAAAAAGGATTAATAAAATTACGCTTTAACAGAATCTTGTAATGCCTTGTCTTGTGATATGGAAATATGTTTCAGAGCGTTCGATTCTTCTTTTTCACGTTCTTTATCAAGTTTTTCGATTTCACTTTCTCTGCATTCACATTCATATTTTAATCCGGTAATTTCTAATCTAGCTTCTTGACATTGTGTATTTAATCTTTGCAAATGAAGGGTCTGTAAAGAAATAAATATAATATATCAAAATGAAGTATGTGCAGCAGATACCATAGTATGGTTTATAACTTACACCAATCTCCAGGATGTCTCTAGCTTCTTCCGAGGTTGTAAATGATTTTCTTTTGGTAAGTCTTTCTTCAAATAAATTATCTTCGTTTTTAAGATTACTGAACATTTTGAAAATTTTTATGTTAAAAATATACAATGCTGCGGAATTAATAATGAACCAACGCGTGTTACGTCATGCATGCATATATTTGTGAGACGTCATAAATGCACGGGAAATAACGGGTTAATTAAGATTTGGTTAATTAACCGGTTAATAAACATTTTTATTTTATTGTATCACTATACAATTCTAAATATAACTGTGTAATAAATTTTATTTTTTTTTGATTGGTCAACTAAAAATATCTGAAACAATCTTTCAAGAAAATTTGCAACGTGGAAAATTTGTTAGGCGAATTATATATAATACATCGGTTGAACTTTTCACAGTTTATTTTTGTCATATTACTTCATTCACTAAATGAATTTCTCCGTTTTAATATAATTACTTTATTATGGAATTCTGAAAAATGGATACATAAAACATTCTATCGCGACCTTTGTCTTATATCTCTCGAATGAGAACTTGTCGAATTCAGTGTTGTTCTCACTTTTTCTAGATTGATTTATCAAGAAACCGCCAGTCAACATATGAGATGATCTTCTCGTTTACTATCGAACATTGATCTGTACTATTGACTATAGATAGTTGATTGGTTTTTTATTCTCACACCGTTCATGATCAGTTTGAGAAAGACATGGTGTTTCGGCTAGCACTCGAGATAAAAATGAATCACATCAGCTGGGACGAGAATTCGACTTTGGAAAGAAATGAGGAAAAAACTCGAATGTAAAGAATGAAAAGAAATAGGAAAAATGCTCTCGTATATGCTTCATTTTCTTGTTATGAATTCTAAACTAAAAAAAGTGTTCTTGTTTATCTTATTATGCTATTCAATGAGTGAAGACTCTCAATGACTTCTTTGCCACACTTGACTAGGAAGAACAATCCTTCTTACTTCCAAATGCCTTTTTGCAATATTGTGAAGTTCTGATAAATTAGGCCAGTGGCTTAGAAATTTGTTTAACGATACACATTGTTTCACAATTCTTTTTTTTATGAAACTAGAAAATCAACGATAATAATATCACTAGAATTTAAGAGACAACTTCCGACAACAAACATGGCCAGTAAAGAACTCATTGAAGCAAAAGGTGTACAATTAAATAAAGTTCTGGAAGTTGATAAATTACAAGAGACCTTTTTGGACAATTTCTTGAAGAATCGTTGGAAATTCTATCAAAAGGTAATTATGAATTTGGAAAATTTGGAAAGCAAATAAAGTTTTTAAACTTTTAATAATATATATATATATATATTTCATTTTTATAATATTATAATAGATATTTACAAGTTTTGCCAACTTACCAAACCTGCATATTAATATAAATCTTTTAAAATTTATAACTCTTATAAATACCCAAAGAAGGACAAAATCAGAAAAAATAGATTTGTAACCTGATGCTTACCGAAGGTCTCACGGAAAATTTTTTAAAACCTTCCATCACCTAAATTGTGATCCTTTACTGAATGAGACATTTTTCAGATTATTAGAAGAATGTTCCACTTGGAATCCTACAATAAGTATGAGTAAAATGAATGAAAGAGCTGGTGATAAAACCTATAGTCTGCTACCATTACTAAAGTTGTTATGTTTAAAAACCTGAAATTTATAGTAATAGGACACAAAATGTCAATTGAGCAAGTACAAGGTCAAGAATCTCAACGCTTTATGACACGAAGTACTGCTCGTGTCCGCATCGACAATGTCAAAAGCAATGAGCAGCAAGTTAAAATAATTTTTTTTTCAATTTTATTTATTTTATATATATACTATTTTTTAAAACTTTATAGCAATCTCCATTTTTAATAACATTATCCGCTTACATATCTCATTATTTTATTAAAAAAAAAGTTCAAAACGAACGAACATCTGTTGTTCACCTATTTAAAGTAAAATTTGATAAGTTTGACCTACAACCAGAGGTTAAAAGCATCAACATTAATGAATTGTTGACTAATTCACTGAGCTCGACTGTTAATTTACAACTTAAAAGAATAAAGAACGGTCACATGAAGATCGCGCATCATTGTTTAGAGGAGATAATCTAAATTCACATATTGTCGGAACCTCTATTGTAATATTTGTTTATTGTTTGTTACCTTCAAGGCTTTGCAACTATTTACAGTAGATCTAGTCTAGATCTAATATTTGTTTCATATATAGTCACCGCCTATACGAACAAGTTTATTTTATACCATTTTGTTCAAATCATAAGAATATATATACATGTACTGTATATATTTTAAGGGAATTTTGATGGTATGAAATAACTTCTACGCAAAAATGATTTTAAATATAAATAATCTTAACGATACTACAAATTCGTGATGATCTGATTTATAAAAATCTAAACCTACATCGTTTTTTTTTTTTTTATAATAATTATTATTTTAAAGATAAATTATTCACAGATAAATAATAATAATAATTAATCAAATATTTTATACAATACGTAGAAATTACAAAACTCTAATTAACCAATACTTAACCCTCCTCTATTAATATAATAAAGTGCATCAGGAATTCGCCTATTCGAATAAAACGAAATTAATAAAAAAAAAAGAAAAAGAATTTAAAACAAATGAAATAAATAATAAACTCTTACTTAAAGAAATGATCATGACCAACTCTGTCCATTATACCAGCGCGTACAAATAATTTCTTTTGATTCTCGCGCAATTTCACGAAATACACTTTAACCCGACGTTGTTGATATGATTCAACAATTTCTAAAAGAATTTGTGCGGCACTACACGTAATTGAACAACTTGATTTAACAACTTGAATTCAAACGAGAAAAAAAAAGTCGTCATATTTTAACGTATTCTCTATGTACCTAGCATCAACTTCCTCCATCGTTTCTATGTCAAATATCACGTTTTCAATTGGAGACATTCGAGCCTCTTCTGAAGGATGAACACTCATATCACCAAATTCTTCTAAACGTCTTAATCTATCTTTAAGTTGACCAGTATTTGCAAAGTACAAAGGTTCAGCGATTCTGACCACAAGTACTCCTTCAACATGTTCTGCTTGATCTGGGAAATCTTTGATAGGTTTGAATTTGTCTGTTTCACCTATCTTACCCTATATTATGTAAAAAAAAAAAAAATTAATCATCAAAAAAAAAAAGAATGAAAGAATCGAAAATAATAATTATAATTGATTCGTGAATACATACCAATAATGTGATACGTGGATAAGTAGAATGTTTAACAACAAGTAACAATGATAATGCGACCGAAATTAACGTGCCATATTCGGTGGAAATAAAGATGGTGGATAAAAATGTCAAAAGAAGTAAAGCGTAATCTTTCCATGCTTTGATCTTGTACATGAAATATAAATCATGGGGAAGCTCGTCTAACAATGATATAGCGGCAACAGTAACAATTGACGCTAATACAGGTTTCGGCAAATAATAAAATGCATCAAGAAGGAAAAACAAACATAAAAGTACGAGAATAGCATTTATGAACCCTGATAATTGAGTCCTAGCACCAGCTCTGTCATTGATACCACTCCTTGCCATACCACCATAAGCAGGGAAACTTTGGAAAAAACTTCCAATCAGATTTGCAGTACCCAAAGCAACTAGCTCACGATTTGCACTAACAGCATAATTATGCTTCGTCGCGTAAGTTTTTGTGACCACAATAGATTCCACAAAGCCAATGACCGAGATCAAAGCAGCTGTTTCAAAACAATCTATTAAATGAGGAAAGGATGGTGCGATAGGAATTCTGAATCTAAATCCACTTCCTTTAACTGATCCAAGAATATAAACCCCGTTTTTATTCCACTCAAAAGTTTTGCATAGGATTGTAAATATTATTACACATATCAAGATCTCTGGTATGAATTGCACATTTGGCCATCGCTTGGCGATCCTTTTTTTGAGTCGTCCAAATAATAAAAGAAAAGCAAGACTTGAGAATGATACTATAGTTGTTAGTCTGTGAGCGAGGTGAAGATGTGTGATAATATAGATAAATATTTCAACTGTCGATGATGCGTGACCAATTCCATCTTCTGCGGCCATATCGGATAAGCGGAACATGGTCAAGAATTGTTCGATCATGATCACAAGCGCTACCGCCGAGATAAATCCACGTAGAAGAGCGCGTGATAAAACAGAATCCAAGAATCCTAACCGAACGATACCAAGAATGAATGTCAAGATGCCCACAAAGAATGTGACTAGACCTGCAATCATAATTGCGGTTTCTGGATCACCCTCTTTGCCTAAATATTTTTGCTGTTGAGATACAGAAGAACCCACAAGCATAGATACAAGTGCTTCAGGGCCAATGACTAATTGTCTAATCGTAACATCAAAATCGGTTAAAATGAAAGAATTGAAATTATATTTAGTGATTGATTTCATTTACCTTGAAGTCCCGAGAAAAGAATAAATTAATCCAGGAATGATAACCGAATATAAACCATGAACAGGCGGTAACTTTGCAAGCACGGAATATGATAAAGCAGAGGGCAACAAAATAGCTGTTACGGTTAAACCGGCAGCAAAGTCTCCCCAAAAAGTTTGTAACGAATAAGTTGGTAACCAACTGAAAACTGGAACATAATATCTAAGTCGAGTTTTAAATGTTAACCATGTCTCTTTTTTTTTGCCAGGTCGTGAATCTGAAAATTTGAAATGTGAGAAAGTAACTCTTACAAAAACCAGTAGCCAGAGTATATGTTTTATATATTGGATATACCTGAGACATCACGAGCCATGAGTGGGGTTACCTCTGTAAGTTGCTGTTCGTCATCGTCAGTATCATATTGACTACCGTCTAGTTCACAATAATTTAGATCATGTAATTTAAAAAAAAAAGAAAAAAAAAGGATCTTTGAAATTTTATTGAAATCGTACCAAACTCTACAGGTGTTGATAAGTTACGCGGAGTATGCGACATTACTTTAGAGAGAAATAAATCACAATTTTATTTTTTTATTTTTTCAAGAAGAATGGATTGATTAAATTATATAACAAAAAAAAAAAAAACTGGGAACACAACAAGGCCAATTTTAGATAACATTTCCATATATGTATTTCGGCAATATTCAATATATTCCTGACCGAAAGTTTTATTTGAAGGATTTTTTTTTTTTTTTTTTTTGATTAATGTGAGAAATTGCAGATTTTGTGATCATTAAATTTACAAACAAAAACAAGATGACTCAGCCATTTTCTTTGTTCCTACTTATCATGAAAGGAAATAGATCGTTATAATATTATTGTGAGAGTCTTAAAAAGTCTTAAAAATACTTAATGACGAAATTTAATGATTTAGCGATTATCTTAAAATACATGTAATACGAAAGAATCAATTGTCACACTTTAGTAATTATTCAAATATTAAAAAATTTAGGACGCGAAATTAAGTATTATTATTTATTCTTGACGAACAATTGTTAAATTGCTAATTAAAATTGATATTAGGAATTCATTGATAGATTGAATATAAAAAAAAAAAAAAAAATTGTTCCTCCGAAAAAAAAAAAAGTTCCAAAGTTCCCTCCCAAATAAAATGTAAAAATAAAAATGTTTAAGATCGTTCCCCACGAAGTCTTCTGGCAAGTTGAATATCTTTTGGTTGAATTGTAACACGTTTCGCGTGAATAGCCGCTAAATTTGTATCTTCAAATAAAGCAACCTAAAATTTTCGAAAATGTAATAAAAAAAATAAAGAAAAAAATTATTTTATTCGTTAATTTTTAATTGGTTGAAAAGGCAAATAATTAATTGAACAAACATACCAAGTAAGCTTCAGCAGCTTCTTGAAGGGCTCCAATGGCCGAACTTTGGAAGCGCAAGTCAGTTTTGAAATCTTGTGCAATTTCACGAACCAAGCGTTGGAATGGAAGTTTTCGGATCAACAATTCAGTCGATTTCTGGTAACGTCTGATTTCTCGAAGGGCAACGGTACCAGGTCTATAACGATGTGGCTAATGAAATAAATATATATAGAAAATAAAAGAGAACATATGTTAATGAAAGGTATTATACATTAAAATAAAATAAAACAAAAATATATTTTTTTTTTTTCTTCTTTCTTCATACTTTCTTAACACCACCAGCAGCTGGAGCGCTTTTTCGTGCAGCCTTAGTTGCGAGTTGTTTACGAGGAGCTTTTCCACCGGTTGATTTACGAGCGGTTTGCTTTGTTCGTGCCATTGCTATATGTTTGTTTGTAAATAAGTTTTATGTTTTTGTGTTTTAAAGAGACGAGTCTCGGGTTTTTTTTTTTATAAAATCAAATAAGGGTTTAACAAAGAGGAAAGATTTTTGTCCGTGATACAAAAGATTGAAAATTGGGGCGAGTCAAAAATCTACTCTTTATATAACCTTTTGATCTACGCGCGTCAATTCAAAATGATTGTTTTGAGGTTGTGTATCAAAACGCGACAAAATAAAACTAAGCCACGAATTTCACGAAATTTAAAATGATCAAGGCGCGTTATGATCGACATGAATTTTTGTAAAAAATAGAAACAAAGAAATCGCGAAAAAATCTAAAAATAGCAAAGTTCAGCATAAATAAAATACAATACACGACACGAACAAGGGAAAATCAAAAAAGCCAATCGCGGCGTGTTTTTGTTTACGCGGAGTAATTTACACAATTTACGAAAGAAACAAAAAACAAAGATTGTCGCGTTTATTGATCTAAACGCGATCAGATCAGAGTATATATAAAGACACCTTTTTTCCCACTCACTTTTTGGGTCGTTCATCAAAAATTTAAAGAAACAAACAACACACCGTAATCACCGTAATCTACCTCTCACGTAAAAAAAAAAACTATCTTACCCTTTAAAAAAAAAAGGTACCTAAAACCCTTTCATTTTATTCTTTCACAAAAACAAAAACATAAAAAATGTCTGGACGTGGTAAAGGAGGAAAAGGACTTGGAAAAGGAGGCGCAAAACGTCATCGCAAAATTCTTCGAGATAACATTCAAGTATGGAACTTTAAACTTTTAATTTATTTTTGATATAATCTTTTTTTTTTATTTTTTAATATCTTTCTTTCTTTTTTTTTTATTTAAAAAATTTCTTTAGGGTATCACTAAACCTGCTATCAGACGTCTCGCACGCAGAGGTGGAGTAAAACGTATTTCAGGTCTTATCTATGAAGAAACACGTGGAGTCCTCAAAGTTTTCCTTGAAAATGTAATTCGAGATGCTGTAACCTACACAGAACATGCTAAGCGTAAGACTGTAACGTCTCTAGATGTTGGTTAGTAACATTTCCTCTGCAAAATTTTATTTTATTTTTTTTCTTTATTTTTCGAAAAAATATTAATTAAAACATTTTCCTTAAAAAGTCTATGCACTCAAGCGACAAGGACGTACTCTTTACGGTTTTGGAGGTTAAACAGTTTCTTAACACTTTACCATCAAGAAACGAGAAGACTAATATTCAAATACGACCATATATCTATCTTTCTTTATATACTCAAACTTTTTTTCTTCTTTTTTTTTTTTTTATCTCCTCATAATGCTTGGACTCTGTAAATTAATAATAATATTATGCGCTCGTTTCCCAACAGAATAAATCGACGTATTTGATTGCACAAATTTGTATTTTTTTTTGTTAATAAATGGTATCTTTGCTTAAGTGATAAATAAAAAATGGATTCTGGCAATGATTTTCGTATCTAATAAAATAAACTTGTAAAAAAAAAAAAAATTTACATTCTTCGTTTTCTTAATTGCCTTGCCTATTTGGAATAAATAAATTTTTAAAAATACATTTTATTCGAGTAAAAACTTTTAATATGGTAACGTATGTGTCTGTGTTTAAAGGAAAGACATTTCTTGATTTCTAAGAAAAGAAAAAAAAAAAACTTTCATTCGTTAGTCTTCAACTTGTGAAGTGGATCCGAAAGTATTAGAAAAACTTCGAAAATTTAGGTTTTCAAAAAATTCGAAAGGAAGTGCCGCTTTTGTTTGTAAGTTTGTCTGATCTTTCTATCAAGTACGAACTTATAACTTCCCACACGAAAAAAAATAAAACGCCAAAATTCAACGAAAACGAAAAATTAAAAGAAAAAAATTTTTATCTTCGTTTTATTCAACAAAGTGAAAATCGATAGAGAAAATTTATTAGTGATTGAAGACGAACTATATGACAATATAACCTTGGAAGAACTTGTTGAAGGTAATATAATATATTATTATTTAATCTTTTTTAATGTTCCGACCAAAAATTATTAACCTGTATTCTATTTTTTACTAATAAAAAAAAAAAGAATTGCCCGAAAACTCTCCAAGGTACATTGTACTAAGTTACGAAGTAAGAAAAAATTTTCTATGGAAAATTCTTTTTATTAAAACCAAAAAAAAAAAAAAAAAAATAAGGATCTTGTTATATTAATGAATCAAATCATTTTGGATTAGTTATTACATAACGATGGACGTAAATCGTATCCTTTAGTTTTGATTTATTATTCTCCAGCAGCTACAAAACCCGAGATACACATGCTGGTAATTACATCATCGTTTTTTGAACGTGAAATTTGATTTGATTTTGAATTTGATTTCATTTTTGAATCAATTACATACGTAGTATGCAACAGCAAAAACTTACTTTCAACAAAAGGCAGAATTAAATAAGGTAACCAACTTTAAGTTCAGATCATTTCAGAACTTCACTTTTAATCCTATTCTCAAATAATATTAGGTATTTGATATTCGAGAAATTGAAACGTTAACGGACGAGTGGTTACAAGTGAGTTGGATTTCCTTTTTATCCAATTCATGGTTCTTTACCTTATACCCACTAACATCTTTACATCTTACTATTCACTTTATTAAACTGAAAGGAAAAACTACTTCATTGAAATATTTTCTTTTTATGTGTAAAATCATCAACTTTAAAATTAAATTGCCGAGGCCATTGTTTCACACAAACAAGAACCTCCTATATCTCTTTTTAATGTAAAAAGTATGTATAATCTGTACAATTACGGCATAATAAATAAAAAATGAATGGAATAAAAAAATATATATTAGAATTCAACTTTTGAACAGATGAAAAGTCCCTTGATCACGTCCCTTTTTCATAAACCAGTATCAAAAAAAAAATTTAAAGGAAAATTAAAGGAAAATTTAAAGAAAATAAAACTAAAATAAGTTCTCCTTTCCAACCCTACGCAGTCCTTATTATTAAACCCAACACGTCTATCCTTTCCTTCCTTCCTTCCTTCCTTCTTGTTCATCTTATCATGCAAGCATTCTCGAGTTATTGAAGATGTCTAATAAAATACAATAAATATAATTTTTTTTTTTTTTTTTTTTTGCATAAATAAATTTTTTTTTTTAAAAAAAAAAAAATGTTTATTAGCATTCTTTCCAACAAAATCAAAACTAAGATTCATCGATAAGCGCGACTATCATCCTAAATTAAAGTGGAAACAAAAGTTTTGTGAGTATCGATCATTCATTTTTAAAAAATTATTATTTTTTAACATTTGTTCATACCTATATAAATAATAAAAGAAACTAATGAGATAAAATCCAAGTTTAGCAAAACACTCGGTTTTATGTTGCCCTATAGTTCGAAAAATCTCTGTGGCATCATACATGTGTTTATTATTCATTACTCTAAAGATAAATAAAAGTGTTAGAAAATAATGAATTGAATCAATTCAAAATAGTAAATGAAATATAAATTACTTGTTAATATTATAGGCAACTAATACTAAATTAATAACTCCTGCGAACCAACTTCCGTTGATAATCAGCATAAAGGTAAGGAAAGCATGAGCCATCATTTCTGGGAGCACAAACTAAAAAATATTAATATATTCGTTAGAGAAATTAAATTTGACGCACTTATATGCCAAGAAAAGTTAAAACTAACCTGGTTCAATTTATTGCAAAGATCAATTGGGTTAATATAATCACATTCAAGATCCGAAAACATGATCGTCTATTAAAATTGAATGATAAGAGTCATGGATTGATAATATAATATTGTTTAATTAGTATTTCATTTTATGAGTTCCTTTCTATCGCATTGTTCATGCATATTTCCTTTCCATTTAAAAAATTATACCAATGCTCGTGAATTGAATAAAAAGGATACAAAAAAGACCATCGAAAATAATAAAATAGCGGCCATAATGGTACCAAAGAGAAAAAGCATGGCTTCACCTGGCATTTTTATTATTATTTTTACTTATTTCTTTTAATTACAGTAATAGTAATATGAATGCCAGAAAAAAAAAAATTTAAAAAAAAAAAAAAAAATGAAAAAAAATTGAAGAAAAAAATTTAATTGAGAATTAAAAATTTTTTATATTAAATCATTCCCCGATATCGTAGATTGTGAGACTTGAATCATTCCTTTACACAACATTATAATTCATCCAATAATAAATTAGATAAGCATTATCACCTGATTCCTTCAAGATAATCAAAAATTTTTTATCCTCTCTCAAGAATGTCAAATAGAGATTTTGTTAAATTGACCTCAGAACCTCTTATACTTCAAGATATTGTAGATTTGGTAAAAGATGATGGGGCCGGAGCAATATCAACATTTAATGGTACAACTCGTAACATTTTCGAAGGTAAAGCAAAATATTTGAGGATATCTATACATATATACATAATGATTCTATCTTATTTATTTTAATCCATTTTTTTTTGTTTCTTTGTGAATAGAGAAATCGGTTATTCGATTAGAATACGAAGCATATGTTCCAATGGCAGAAAAAGTTTTATTGGATATTATATCTGAAGCAAGAACAAAATGGGACCTCACTAAAACTGCAATATTTCATCGTACAGGTATTGTTCCTGTGGGAGAAACGAGTGTAATAGTAGCAGTATCAAGTGTTCATCGTAAAGAATCTATTCATGCTGTAGAATTTTTAATTAATCATTTAAAAGAGAAAGCTCCAATATGGAAGAAAGAAGTTTATAGTGACGGAAGTGTTTGGAAGGAAAATGCTGAAAATAGACGAAAATGTTAAATAAATATATATATTATGCATTTATTAATTTTAATATACCTAAAAATACATTAGTTGTTATTATCAATGTCAAAATTAAATTTTATTAGTCGATTTTAGCCATTAAAGTCTTCACTATCCGCTATGTATAATAGACTACAACAATCTTTGTTGTGAGAATCTTATTAGACTTCAATTAAATTTATTTTTTTTGCATTTAAATATCAATATATTAGCAATTTTGCTAATTATTAAATTATAATAAATTATATTATATTATTATATTAATATTTGAATTCTTTTAATTCAAATAAATTACAAATTTAAAGTTTATCTTTTACTATTAATAAAATCTTAATAACTTTAAAGTATAATTATTAAATTTAATAATATTATTCTTTATATAAGCAATCAATATTACTAAATATTATTCATAATTACTAAAACACAATTTTAAATTTTAAAAATAAAGAATTCTGGATTTCTAAATAAGTTATTATTTATTTTAATTTTTTAAATATTTTATTAATTCATAATTATTAATTAATTATTAGTTGAATTAAAATAATAATAATTTTCTTTTATTGTTTAATTTATTTCTGTAAAAAAAATTTTTTTAATTTCAAGTCATATGCCTACTAATTTATCATTGGTCCAAATTATTTGTAACAATTACAATCTGAATTTTTTAAAAAAAATTCATTTTTAAATTTTTTTTTTACTTTAAAAAAATGGCAATATATGAAGGAATCGAACAAGAATTAGAACGAATAAGAGAAGATTATGATAAGGCAGAAGCAGAATTAAAACAGTGGAAAGAAAAGAAGAACGATAGAATGTGATTGGAAGACTTGAAAGGAAAGGTGAAAAGAAAAGAGCAGCTTGATGAAGATAACAAAAGACAGCTGAA